AGCCTTGTTTTCCTTATTGCCATAGCCTTGTTTTCCTTATTGCCATATCCATGTTTTTGTCACAGCCTTGCCACAGTTTTGTTAATCTTTATTTGCACTTTGCCATAGTCTTATTTTTGCCACAGCCATGCCACAGTCTTGTTAACTTTATTGCTTTGATACTTTGTTCATAGTTTTTCCACAGCCTTGTTTTGAACCGTGTCTGCCATCCACTCCATTTGAGTGTTTTTTGTTGCAATAAACTCCTGGAACCAACCCTCTCCGCACCTGAGTCCTCCCTTAAGACCCACCCCTGTGACAAAACTCCTCTAAACGTTCCCATTTTGGACCAGAATAACAGCATAAATAAGCCTTGACATTTTTAGTATTTGTGGTTAACACAAGAATAAATAGTCATTGTTAAGAATTATGTTACTGGAGATTTAATATATTAATTAATGTGTTTAATTGAACTGGGCTTCACAAAAACATCTCTTTGTGGTTTAAAGGCATTTAAAGGTGGGTGGAGTATCAAAGGCTTTAGTCAGCACTGAGTTTTGTTACTTTAGGATAATTTTACTCAAGTAAAAGTAAAAAGTATCCAAGCAAAGAATTACTCAAGTAAGAGTAAAAATGTATTAATTAAGTGCTGATTTATTGATTTAACAATCTGGACATGAATGTCCTTTGATAGGATCAATTCAAACAACAAATTAAATCTATTTCTATTTCTTTCCTCTCAGGTCTGTTTTGACTGCTTACAGAGACAATAGTCCAGAAATATCATCACATTGTTTTGTTTATTCTTCTTAGTGAATGCGTTTTCAACCGTTTAACATATTTTGGAGTTATTTTTGTAGTATATGATAAAGCAGAGCTCATTTACTTAAAGTCATATCTGTTTTTTTTTTAGATAAAAGTTCTGATTTATGATAATTTTGAAAGCATCTCAAGCATCCGAGCCATTTTCAGGCAGTTATGTGGAAGAAAACCAGTTTTGTGAACTCTTCTGCTGGATTGATTTGATTTTCCAACAAAAAGGATGTAGATGGGAGCCTAAAAAGGAGTTCCAGAGGCAGTAAACTCTGCTTATGGGCTCATCTGTAATGAAGTCGTCCTATAATGTCTGAATAGTGGATTCTGCTGAGCTCATTCCCTCACGGATCTGTCACAGTCTTTTTCAGCCTCCCCCCCCCCCCCCTTCGGTCTGCCCGTTCCTCTAATCTGACTTCAGCACAGTGGTAAAAATTTCACACATTCAGACTCGGCTCTGCTCGGTCCATTTCTTTACTCATAAAAAGTTTTTATCTAATTGGAGTTTCAAAACACAGCCGAAATCAATTTCTCACCATTTCACTTTGGTTTTAAAGCGGCGACAGGCTTGAAGATAACAGAGGGAAAGTTTCTCTGTCGGTTCCACAAAGCTTTGATTAGTTTTGCCGTCTTTTGTGTGCCGAGAGACAAAGATTGAAGAAATTTTAAATGGCTCGCCTCAAAGTTTTATAGCAGCATTACAATCTCCCCCTTTATAGGCAGAAAAAGATACATTTGAGGCACTTTTGATGTGTTATCTGATGAGAAATGTTCAGGTGAGTTCAATTGAGCGGAAAGAAAGTGGGAAATGGGGAAACTACCTCCGATCAGGGCGGAGTCCGTCTTCATGGCGTTCACCAAAGGTTGACCCGAACCCAGAGAGCCCGACTGGTCTGTTTCAGAGAAAGAAAAAGAAAACAGAGGAGAGAGGAGGTGAGATCACCTGTGAGGGGGAGAAATAGGAAATTAAAACACGTGTTTTAGTGTTTTCTCATCACAAAATAGAGCTTTAACACCTCCTGTGAATGAAATGTGCGTAAAGTCGGACTATTCTGACGGACCCTAACCGTAACATTCCCAACACACTTCACCTGAAGGACCAATAAACCCTGTTATTGAACAGTTTTATTCCTAAAGGAGGATTTCTGTGCACCGGTTAAAAAAAAACAACCATATGATATTCTAACAAACAATAAAGCAATAAAGGGTTTTGTATGAAATAATTCGATGAGGTCAAAATGTGAGAGATTGTTTTTTAACAAAACAATAATAGAAAAAGATGTGATTTCCTGAATGTTTCCCCTGAACTCTGTAATCTAGATAAGGGGGGCAGTTTACGGCTTCACCAGAACTCTCTGTGACGGTAAACATCTCTCATTTGGTCACGGATCGCTGTGAAAATGCAGCAAAAACCACATTTTCCCCCTTTCGACATCTGACAAAAGCGGAGGCTGAAAGTGCAAACGTGATAAAAGTTCAATGAAAGCCATAAAACAACCCGTGAAACTAGATTTTGACACATTTACGATGACTAAGAGTTGTGGGGCCCTGGGGAGGAAGTCAAGTTCACAGCTCTGCTTTGATTATTACTCTGAGGGGATTACTGGAAAATCAGCGCAAAGAGAAGCATCAACAACAACAAACCTGATTACACTGTAAAAAAAGGGAGAAAATCTGTACAGTACAGGGAAAATGAAACCATCAACAATGGTAGAAAGGTTAGAGAACACAGGACAAATTTATTATTATTTTTTAAAATTTGAATAGGGACAAAGCACATTAATGAACATCAGTCAAAATCAAATGTAAATATGCCGGATTGTAGCTACAAAGCTAATTTTCATCCGTAGTCCCTAGGCAGGCAAAGGCATAAAAAATAACATATAATAAACAATATAAGCATCACAAGTAAATGTTTAGATTTTAGTGGTCACATGACTGGTTTGCTTTCATCCAAAATTTAAGTTGAGCTAAACCAAACGAGCTCCTGCTGAAACTCCATCACCAGCTTTCTGGACCCCCCCCCTCCCAGGCCCCTCCCCTCTCTCACCTGACAGGTGTGGGGTGTTCTGAGCTGCGCTGGGATTGGTCGAATCCGCCGAGCCGCAGGTGGAGCGGAGCAGGGGTCCGGAGACGAGCACGCGGCTGTTGCCCGGCAACAGCAGGGCGGCTTTCAGGGGGCTGACGGAGTCGAACCGGACCACCGACAGGCAGCCGCTGAAGCCCAGAGAGCCCAACCGGGCCAGGTCCGGGTCCAGGTCAGCGGGCTCTGAGGAAGAGGAGGAAGAGGAAGAGGAGGAGGAGGAAGAAGGTTTTTGAAAGTCCAAATGCTTGTGCACAGTCTAAAATCTTCTTAACTCATTCGCTGCCAAAGACGTCTATAGACGTCTTTTATGTTTTTCAACGAGAGTGGCTGGGGGACGATCTGCTAAAGCTTGTCCGTAAATATCAGGCTTCTAGACAGAGTATGTAGTAACAAATTGACCCTCTAGGGGGCAGTGCCACTTTTGATGGGAGATGAGCATAGACTGTAGGCAAATAAGAAAAAGGCAACGGTTCACTATGCGAAAAATGGCGCCGGTGAGACGCAAGTCGAGGAAGAACGGAATAAGGTAGAAACCATTTTTTTTTCCTGATGAAAGAAGAGAGTCTACTCTTTCTTTTGGTGTGTTCGGTGTTTACATAGTCATAGCACAAACTATTCTGTGGCTCTTGAAAAAACAGTCAAAATGCTCAAAAAACTCTGGCAGTATGGGACTCTGTTCTGAAAATGGCTGGCAGTCAGTGAGTTAATTGAATCAGAATCATGTTTTTTTACTGGAAAGTGTTGGAAAAACCTGCAGAAAAACAAACAAAGTCAAATTCGTTTGCTCTTTTCTGACTCTACAACCATGACCTTTGACCTCTAACTTGCTTTAACCGAGGCCTGCAGAGTCTGAGTGGCAGCTCTTTGTTTTTTGAACAGATTTGTTATTATCTTTTCAGAAATAATGCAGTGTGGTACGAATGTACATGTGTATTTTTTACATTTTTAAACATAAAAAAACAAAACACAAACACAGGGTGATTTCAAGAGTATGAAAAACAAAAAAGAACCATTATTGCGTAATTAGTGGAACGACAGGTCTCCAACGTTTATTGAATATGGGTATTTGTAGTCTCAGGGAATATGTTATATGTTCCATTTGGTATATATCCCAGACCTTCTGAATCCAAATATTTTAGCAATTAGGCTCCGGTTTGAGCCATTTTAGAGCAGCTGTTAATAATATATTCAAAAGATATTTTCCATCTCGTGTAGTAATAGTTTTAGGTGTTAACTCCCAATAAGGCAATGTCTATATTGAATGGGATTTCCTGTTTGAAGATTACTTTTAGGGCATCAAAAATATCTTTCCAAAACTGATTTAATTTAGGGCATTGCCAAAATATGTGTGTGTGATTAGCATCATCAGTTCCACATTTTCTCCAACATAATAGCTCTTTGGTTTTTGACCTGGAGGTGACCATGCTGTGCTGAACTTTTTCCGCTTTTTTGGGGATAATCTTCTCTCTTCTCTAGTCTGAAAGTGTCCTCCTCACCCTTTAGATTCACGAGCGGCCGGTTGCTGGTGTTCATTCGCAGCATCTGTTCACTTCTTACACTAATAACCCCCCATGGAAGTAATTAAGTTGATTTATTGAATCATGTTCTAATCCATAATGACTAATCATTGACAGAGGGTTCGGGACAAAATAATTTTCTTTTAAATAATTCATTGTAACAAAGATGCTGAGATGAAATTTTCCCCACACTGACACAGGAGAAATTGGCTCTTCAGATGAATAAATGAACCTTTCCTAATAATAATGGATACACCCCGTGCTGTATTAAGTTTCCCCCGGCTCATTTATTTCCCTTTTGAAAAACGCTGAGTCATGGATTGCTGTTAACAACCGGTGCGTTGTCCAGTAAACGGACAGAAACCTTCAGCCCTACCTGCTATTGCTGGCTTATATCTCTATTCCCCTCTGATGGAGACGCTCAGCGAGAGCATGAATAAGTCAAGAAAGAGCCAATTACTGCCCCCCCCAGCCCCAAACACAATTACTGTCCCCCGTCCGTTGGGCAGCTCAGATTAAATAGCCAGTTTAAAACAGGCCTTACCTCTAAAAAGACATAAAGTCATAAATATCTGCTGCTGTGCATGCGGTGCTTTTTTAAAGCATTTTAACCCTGTAATGCTAAATGTATCATATTTGATACGTACGGTTTCTGAAATGTTTTGGTCTGACACCTTTTGCATAATTTAATGGTAAAAACTTTGCTCAAAATCCTATTGTACACAATCAGATACACCTGATAACAGGGGGCAGAAGACTACACAAAAAATAATCTTCACCTATCCCATAGTAATAAATTATTAATGTCAAAATTGTATTTCTATTTTTTCTTTTTACATATTTTGTTTAAAGGCCAAATAAGGAATTCAAACAAAAAAAAGTAATTTTCAGTTTTTTTAAATCTTGGATCAGGCTTTAAAGGGTTAAGAGTTTGAATGGGTTTAACTGCACCAGATATGTCCCCCAAAATGACCAAGCAAACGCGTTTTTATTTAAAAAACCTTCTTATAAGCACCTTAAATAAATAATGCAATGATTTGTTTTTTCAGGATATTCCTGTTTAAGCCTAAAGACTAAGACTTGTTAGCCAAATGAGACTATTCTGTCTCTACTTTCCGGACGTGTTCTTACCGAGCACTTTGCCCAAAACCAGCGACTTAAAGCTGTTGAACTCTCCCTCGGAGGTCAGGTTGAAGTCTTCTCTGCTCTCCTGGTCGATCTGAAAGAGAAGATTTATCTGAAGTGGACAAAATAACAAAACAACCAAAAGAGACCGAACATGGCATGAGGTTTAGTTTTGAGCAGAAGCAAAGCTGTGGGGATTATCTCCTCCCAGAGCCAACGGTCACTTTAACACAACCATTAAGTTTGATATAAACCGATAAGATGAGACGCCCCTCATATTTCAGGAGACCTTCAGGACACGGTGAATTAGGAGGCTGCGTTTGAGGTCACCTTGTTATTTATCCCTTCCTGTTTATAATTATACGGACGTTCTGGCTCCCATTTAGATAAGTTTCCCCTCGTATTTCATCCCGAGCTGTTAACAAGACGGGCCACTGTGTAGATCCTGATCCGATTAAGACGCTTAATATTTCATCTGTGGTCGCTTTAAAGAGTCCGTTCCTAGCTGGGGTGACACCAGTGTGCAGACTCAGGCTTTTTTCCACAAAGAGAGACCATAACGCTGTACCACAGCTGACTGCAGATGTGTGGATTTACATGCGTTATCCCACCTGTCCTTGGCATATACCGCTTATTTGTGCTTGTCGTCACCCAAATCCGACTTCACAGCAACACACGCCAACACACGGCGCATAAATCTGCATGCTAAGAGTCTGTTCAGGTCACGAAACACACGCCTGCTGTGGGCCATGTGCATTTATTCAGTCAGAAATAATCAGTCAAACAAAACAACGTCCTCCCAAAGGGAAGAGTTATTCTGAGCTCACCTTATGTGTATAAGGATGACAAACACCATGTACTCGTGTTTGGTTAAGTGGATTCGGCGGATTAGGAGGTTAATATTTGACAAGAGGGGTGAAGAAAAGCAAGGCAAACAGAAAAGAGGTCCGGAAACGCTCTCAGACCAGATGTGGAGATTCCACGCCAGATGTTTCAGAAAGCAAACAGCAGGGGCTCCGAAACCAGGAAAGTGAGAATAAATGACGTGATTTAGTTAATTTGCTCTCAGGGCAACGGCCTTAAATATGAAGGGTGTAAATCACCATTTTTATTTAATTTATTCGTTTATTTGATAGGGACAAGTATGTTTCATGAATCATGTCACACACTACAACATTTTCGCTTAGGCTAATTCTCAAAGCCTGTCCCCAGTTAGGCTTTTACACAAAACACAGTGACTGTACACAACAAGGCACAACAAAACAAATTACACACTAAAACATCACAGATACAAGATCAGGTCAGTTAGATTGTTAATGTTCACGAGTCTGACCTCTCAATAAAAAGTCTTTAACCCTATAATGCCAAATGTATCATATTTGATTGACACGGTTTCTGAAGTCTTTTGGATCTGAGACTTTTTGCATCATTCAGTGGTAAAAGCTTTGCTCAAACCCCTGTTGTACACATTCAGATACACCTGATAACAGCCAGTAGAAGACTACACCAAAATACATTTTTGACTTATTGCACGCTAATTTGATCAAAATAATTTCAGTTTTTTTTTATTCACACCTTGTTGAGGGGCCAAAGAAAGACTTCAGACTAAAAGAAATCCAATATTCTTCCAATTTTCTTGGATCAGGCTTTAAAGGGTTAAGTTACCGTACGCCCATGATATCGAACCTCAGCGATTTCAGAGAGATTCTGTCCGGAGATCGATATGAGACTTATTCAACATAATCACCTCCATTCAGATCAAAGCACACAAAAGGAAACAGAATATCAGGTCGATTTATTTTCACACTCCTCCGAAATGTAGAGAAAGTCGTCACTGTTGAGCAAACGCAGCCGGAACAAAATTAATTTTACAAAAAGGGTAAATACTGGTGGTGGTTTGTGAGTGTCACCTGCACAGAGACGGAGTCGGGCTGCCGGCGGACGATAACGGCGTGCAGGCGTCCGTCCGCCAGGTTCTTCACGCCGCTCCTCAGGACCTGGGCGTCCCCGCCGCCGTCCGGCTTGTATCTCAGCTCCAGCTTATCTTCACACACAGACACACAAAGCACTCAGACCCCGGCGTCACACGCCAAGTCTCTCAGCGAGGAAAAAAACAGCGTCTCAGGCTCAATCAGAATGGTTTCGGTAGAGATTTCCTAAAAAAAACAACCCCAAAAACAAGCTGTCATGTTTTGTAATTATCCCCAAGAGGCTAAAATTACGTCTGCTCAATTAAATAAGACTTCTACATTCAGGGGATGAGGGAAAATGCCCCATCAATAGCAGCTAATCTAGGCCTAATTGTCCATTATAGGAGGCACAGATTCCAGCAAAAGCTGAAGTCCTGAGGCTATAAAAAGAGGAAAAATCCTTTAGTTTACCTGCAACATATGGGATGTTTGTCTAAAATAAGGATAAATTATGTCATAATGCTGAGGGAATTGATAAAGGCCCCCATCTTAATGTATTCTCATGTAACGACGCCTTGAGTAAAGCTTGTTTTCAGGTCCTGTCATGGTACAAAGAACCGGGGTGTCTTAGGGCACACAGAGGGAGCTCTCAGGGATTTAATTGGACACTTCATTTGAAGAGGTCAGCACCAAACCGTCATGCCCTGATTCACCCTTTTTTTTTAGAGATATTCTGCAGAAAAAACACCCAGTCGGAGCTCCTGGTGCTGCAGAGACTGGCATCTTTTTGTCTCCAGGATGCTGACAGTCTGAGCTCAGAGTGGCTCCTCCTGCTTTTACAGAGCCAAACCAAACACACTCCAGTTTCCAGTCTTTATTCCTGCTGCATTGGGGCTCACTGATAACAAAAAAAAAACCAAAACGAAACTAATAAAACCGTTTTTGCTTTGGAGAAAAGTTGGTTGACTTTCCAAGAGGTGAATCCGGAGGGAGGCCCGATCTGGGTCTCATGAAAATGTAAAGAAAAGAAGGTGAAAAGGACGAGTGAGAGCTTTGTCTGGGTTTAAATTTGAGCATCCACACTAAAGCAGAAGCAGCATGTCCTGAACGTCTAAAGAGCTGCTTCTGCCTCGAGCGTCCAGAGCTTTTAGCTAAGGTTCTCCCCCCTCTGATACCCGAAAGGACCTCCTTCAGCTTTGATTTCAGCCTCCTTCTCTGTAGCTCACAGATTCATTTCCATCCAGGTCTGGTTGCTGATGGAGAGTCCGGCCTTCTGCAGCTCATAGGAGGCTCTCGGTGGGTCCAGGTCTGGACTCTGTGGGCCCACTCAGCCCCTCTAGCCCCCTGAGTCCAGGTTGGTCCCCATCAGGGAGGGAAACCTGCTCATTTAGGATCTACAGGCAGTCAGCGGACCCCATTCTTTGGCTTACGATGCTGAACTTTGACCCCAGATCAGTTCAACAGTTGAACATTTACCATTTATTCAATCTATTCAGCTAATCAGGCAACATAGGTTAGCACTATTTCAATGTTAATTAGGACATAATTTAACCGTTATTCAATATATTCAGATAATCTGGTAACATAGGTTAGCACTATTTCAATGTTAATTAGGACATAATTTAAAATTTATTCAATATATTCAGCTAATCTGGTAACAGGTTAGCACTATTTCA